TGCAAAGTGACAGCAGTATGTTATTTAACTGACCAAGGTGAAAACTGCAAAATCAGCATGATTGTGGTGGTTATAGAGTCTTACAGCTGCTGGGAGGAAGGATCTGTGATAACACTCCCTGGTGCATTTAGGGTGCAGCAGGCTGTCACTTCCAGTTCTGCACCAGCTTCATGCATGGGGTGTGAAACATTATCCAAAAGAGATGTTCATTTAGTTAGGATCCTTTTGTTTACCACCTCCTGCACTGAGTTCAGAGGTTATCCAATCACAGAGATGGCCTTCCTGATCAGCCACTTTCTCTCAGCCATAGATAAGCCACTGCTCCAACAGACAGCTCCATAGAAGATGGCTGATGCCACAACAGACACAAAGAATGTCTTTAGGAGCACCCTCTGCACCTTTTGGAGTCTTTGGAGTGTTAATCAACCAGATTAACTAACTGAATAAAGTCATAAAGCTGTATTCTTTTTAAACGATTTACTATTAAATTGTAATCATAGATAGATGACAAAAACCTGACCTTGCATTCTACCACAGAAAGCCTGCTCAGATCCAGTTCTTCTGAGTCACAGGTAAGTTCTGTGCTGTTCCAGTCCACCTCGTACTGATGACAGCTGCTGTGCTGCAGAAGTCCTGAGCTGTTGATCATCGGCATGGTTATCCTGCGACTTTCCTCCATGCTCCATTCACAGGCCTTCCTCCTCTCCTCCAACACTGAGTCCCGGCACCAGTGATCCGGAGTGAAGCCCTGGAAGACAATCCCAACATAGAGGCCAGCAAATTGCAACGACAGAAGACAGAGCATGGCGAAGATCCGCTTCTGACAGCGGCCGAAAGAGCCGACCTCTTCCAGGAGGTCATCAAAGGTCGCCATCGAAGCCCTAAAGTTTAAGTCACAGAAATACAGTAGATGTTGGTCTGTTCAGTCCACTGTAGCTTAGTGTAAAGGTCTGCCCTTAGAGATTTTCAGCTTTTAAATGTTGCATCACTAAGCAGGTCAATGTTTGAAGGTAAAGTCCAAAAGTCTGGTGGAATTAAAGCTAAAAGATACACAAGAGGCAAAACCTTCATTCTGTTTAATAAGTGAAGACAGATGAATTATGCAAACCCTGTTCAAACTTAATTATGTGCGATCCATAACCTAAATGTCAAAATGTGCCTTCCCTTTCCAGATTCCAGGTTGCACAATTACTGGTTCACAGAATACAGATAATGATTGTTGTCCAGGAATGTTTGGGAGTCAATGATTTACATATATAAAACAGCTTTAGGTTAAAAAAAAGGACATCTGAACAGTGTGAGGAACATTTTTACATAAAATGTAAAATATACAAAGGCTTACTAAGGTCAACTAAAAGAAAAACAAAGGGTGGATTTTTTTCTTTTGTCATATACAATGAAGATAATACATAACATGGACAAAAATTGCTGGTACACCTCATTCAATGAAAGAAAAACACACAGTGTTCACGGAAATTACTTGAATCTGACAAAAATAAGAGTAAAGAATTTCTATGAAAATGAACAAATGAGAAGCCAGACATTGCATTTCAGCCATGCTTCAACAGAAGAATTTTATTTAAATATAACTCAGGAAACAGGCCTGAATAAAAATGATTGCACCCTTAAAATTCTGTTGCACAACCTTTTAATGCAATCAAACAATTCCTCTAACTGTCACAGAAACTTCTGCTCCTCTAAGTACGTACTTTGATCAACTCCTCATGAGCAAACTGTTCAGGGCTCATATAGGACACTTCACAATAGTCCAATGTTTTCCTCTTTTTGTATTTTTATACTATTATTTTGGGTCATTGTCAAAGACCCATGACGAGACCAAGCTTCCACTGAGCAGAACATTTATATAATAATAATAATAATAAAAATAATTGAGCTTTATTTATGTCACACTGGAGAAATTCACCTCTGTATTTAACCAATCCCTTTGGGGAGCAGTAGACTGCCATTGTGTGGCACCCGGGGAGCAGTGTGGGGTTAAGGGACCCTGAGTGGTCTGTGGGAGTGGGGCTTAAACTCAGAACCTCTAAATTCAAAGCACAATGCCCTAACTGATAGGCCATCCCTCCCCCTCAAAGAAAATCTGGAATTGCTTGATGGATTTCAGATTTCACTGTCACCTGTATAAATTCAGGACATGCTGCACCAAATGCAGCAAAACGTATAACAAAGCCTCTTCCATGTTTCACAGTAGGGACAGTGATATTTTCTGGATATGCTTCATTTTTCTGTCAATATAGAGCTGATGTGCCTTGGCACAAATTTACACTAAACAGTTACATAGAGAAAATAGCATCACTTTATCATTTCTTAGTGCTGTAATAAGAACACACAAGTGCTTTTCCATTTTTTTTCCACTGCCGACACGCTAAAGTAAGTCTTTTAGCATAAAAAAAGTTTGGATAATTATTTGATTTTGGTAATCAAATAACAAAATCACATATCTGCTCATTTTCATGCAGCTCATCTCTAACCTGATTTTATTGCAGCTTCAGATCCTTTAAATCTATTGAAGGAAAAGTAAATAAACTAACTTTAATAAACACTGATTTCATCATGTAATCATCTATGAAATGCAGAAATATCCAGGATATAAACCTGTTTGTTATAAAGCTATATTTAGCTAATCATTGTTTTCAGTTATTCTTTGAATTGCATCATT